TTTGTGAGTCCGCTTAGAGACAGTCATCTAAAACCACACAATGAATCTCAGCTGAAACAATGAAAACCCACACAGACAGAAATTTGACAATGTAAACGTTATGTCGCGGCCGCTGTTGCTCAGCTCCTAGGGTGCTCAGTGGCGTGTGAAAGTGGGTGATGCGTGGGTTCTGGTCTTGTTATCATTGTGGAGTTACCCACCTGAGCCTCGAGGCTGTCTCATGGCCCCTCCTGCCGACCTCCGCCCGCCTGTCCACAGTCTGTCCTCTCCCCATGGTCACCATCTCGGAGAGAGAATTTGTTAACTTTGGGATGTGGCTTGTGTGCCCCCTGCCTCTGTAACTGACCCAGGCCGTGCTTAACCCAGTCCTCACGTGTGTGAGGGGGTCTGGCTGGGTGTGCCCACGTGTGTGGACTTGGGGAGCAGCCAGTGCTCAGCCGTGCTCCCGTTTTCTCTCCCTCCAGGCCAGGCAGCTCCCACTCAGTCCGGTGTCAGGCCCTTGTTCCCCCTCCTGGGCTGGACACTCCTTGAGACTAAGGGCTCCACCGGCCAGCATCCTTGTCCCTGTCAGTGCTGGTGACACCCAGTGCACACGGGCGGGTCCCTAAGGCGGGGGAGGGTAGGCCATGCATTCTCACTCGTCTCTTCCCAGTGAACTTCTCCTAACATAATTTTATGCTTAACAGTCTCGATCTCCTTCTTACTTTTCTGCAGCTAAATATGCAAATCAATGGAAAATGAAAGTCACTTTTATTGACTGTGACCAATGAGGCTGTAGGTGCTAAATTTTTTTTCTGGGTTGTGAGCATTTTACAATAATGATTATGCATTTGACGAAAACAGCCAACTTGTTATCATGTAGACAAGTTACTGTTACACGCGAGAGCCAGAGCTTCTGGGAAGCATCTCCCTGTGAGGTGCTGGCGCCCAGTCTTCTCACCTTGAGCTCACGTTTCCAGCGGTGAGCTCTCTGGGTGCTGCAACCACCCAGAGCTCAGCACAACTCTGTCCCCTCCTTCATTTCTCCGAGGGGGGTGGGGGGGTTTGAGGGCTTTGTAGCAGCAAAAATTTAAAATTAAAAAATTGAGTCTATGAATTCTTTCCTAGAAAAGTGCCCAGAGTCATGGGATGCGTGATGTGTGCGGTCCCGCCAGGTGCTGACGCGGTGCGGACTCCTCCCTTGTCCGTGTGGGATCCCTGGTTTACAAAGGCCTCGGCCCGACCTGGTGTCTTAACCTTCGGAGCCAGCAAGGCTTTGCTGAGCTTGGGAGGTGGCTGCTGTTCCCAGGCCAGTCTGACGCTGACTGTGACCTCGCCTGTTCACAAAAGGTCGGGCAAAACAATTTTTAAAAGTTTTATTCATTTCTCTGCTCAGTATTTTTGCATTTTATGTGCCTCAAATGTATTTCTTGCCAAAAAACACACAGAGCTGCAGATTTTGTGCCCAAGAGGGAAAACATCCTCCCGTCACTTCCCTCTTGCACACCAGTTGACAAATGGAGCTTTCTGTCTGAGAAACCAGCTGGTTTCATCTGTCAATTTATGGACATGGGCTAACATGAGCTTCAGAGAAGATTCCAGAAGCTTCGGGGTGTGCTGTCCGAGCCCAGCAGCAGCCGAGGCAGGAGTGATGATCGTCCCATGTAACCCCCTAAGCGCTCAGGAGCCAAGTCAGTGCACTTCCTCCCTTGGGGGGGATGGGGGGGAGGCCTGACTGCAAGGACGCGCTCTGGGAAAGGAGGGAGCAATTCAGCTACCTCTCGGTGAACTGTGTGCAGCAGTGCGTGAGGGTGAGTGTGAGCGTGAGTGTACACGTGCTGAGGGGACTCAACTCCACGTCCAGCTTTGGGAGTTTTTACATCAGAATCGAGTGTGATTCAGGTTAACATGCTGCGTCCATTCACCACAGAGCCCAGCGCCCTGGGCATTTAGCAGCATCCTCAGGACGCTGCGGCCGGGGAGGGAGGGTGCCTTCCCTCGGTCGGCAGAGTGTGTACAACGTGATCTGTGTCCAGGCGGCGTGACGCCGCGGCCCCGCAGGAAGTCAGCCCACCCACGCTTGCGGCGTCAGAAGCACTGGCCCGAAGCGTTCGGCTGTCCCGCTGTCGTCCCCCCAGAGGGGTGTGGAGAGCAGCTGAGAAGGTCGGGCTCTGCGCGTGGAGTTAGGGTTTGTGCCTTGTTCTCTGTGCTGTGACTCAGGGGCTCCCCCACCCCCACCCCCACCCGCCACCTGGGTCTGGCTCTCTGGCCACAGTGCCCTGGTGTGGGCCCAAGAGCAGGGACCGGGCCAGGGACCCTCCAGAAAGGAACATGTGGAAGTTGAAGCTCTGCCCCTGGAAAATGTGAGGTGCTTCTGCCCCTCCCCCGCTCCCCCTTGTGAAGGCCACAGCCCAGAGGGCCCCTCTGTCCTGGCCCCAGGTTCTCCTGGCCCTTGGCACAACTCCACCCACTGCCAACATCTGGGGATGGACATAACATTCTTTGTTTTGTTTTTTTAAATTGAAGGAATATCACTAAGTAGTAATTGCATTTAGTTTAAACAAAAAGAAAAGAAAATTGAAATCTGAAGAGCTCATTGAGAAAAGCTGTCTGTGTCCCCCAGAGATGACCACTGCTAGCTCTTTCCCAAGGTTTGCTGCTGCTGTCCTTTATATTTCTCATCGTCGATTACTTTCCTATTTAACGGAAGAACTTTGCTGTGGAATCTAGTTGAACAAGGCTGAATGATCGCCCCCAGGGGTCTGAGTTCTAAGCCCAGAACCTGTGAAAACGTGACCTTACGGGTTAAGGGACTTGGCACATGGGATGAGTTTAAGGGTCCTGAGATGGGAGGTGATCCGCAGAGAAGGAGGCAGAAGGTCAGAGAGAGAAGATGCAGTGACGGAAGCAGAGGCCAGAGAGGGAGGAAATGGTACCCTGTTGGCTCTGAAGACCAAGGGAGAGGCCAGTAGCCAAGGAAGGTGGGCGCCCCCAGAACCCGGAAGAGGCAGGACATGGCTCCCCTCCCCCGCCCTCCAGAAAGAGCCCATGGGGACTGACTGTGAACTTCCGACCTCCAGAACCATGGGTGATAAACTTGTGTTGTTGTAAGTCACTAACCTGTGGGGACTTATTCCAGCAGCTGCAGGAAGAGAATGCACAAACTATTATAAAAACTTCCATAAAATATGCGGAGCAGCATGGGAACGGGAACACTTGTGAAACAAGATCACAAGGAAAAAGCGGAATGAAAACAAGAACTCATTACCATTTAAGTTGTGTCCCAGTAAACAGCTGCCCATCCATCTTAGCAAATGGAGTGTGGCCTCGGTCCAGAACTTGACGTGGATATTTGTCTCACCACCTCCGATAGCTTTCATTGCAGCTGCATTAAGAAGGATGTTCCAACATTGTGCTCTTGCTGGCAGCCGCACCATAAACACACCCGTCCGAGCCCAGACAGCTGGCTTCCCCGCGTCCAAGAAACCGGCCTCCAGCCGACTTCCCCTGCGGTGGAGTGGCCACTCCAGCGAGAGAGACAGACCTTGGGACTTGAGCCAGGAAGGCGTTTGCACAGGCGGGGGGGCGGAGAGAGCCCCTTTCCTTCCCATCTGCCCCCACATCGCTGGGGTTCCTGGAGCCCCAGAAAATGTAGCTACCACAGTGCAGGGTGCTTGGCCACAGGGAGCTGTTGGGGAGCCCTTGACACCTCAAGGAAGCTCCCCAACTTCCAAGGTGCTCCCCAAAGCCACCAGCACCCTTGCAGAGCCGGGAGTGATGTCGCAGTCAGCACAACAGCTGAGCTTGTTTGTGGGGGTGAAGCCAAGTCCCACTGCCCCCCCCCCCCAGTGCGAAATTCCCTAGGAATGCTGGTTATTGTGGCAACTGGGGTGTAACTGTTAGCATCCCTGCTGCTTCTTACAAGAAAACAAACCTTCCCACCACGGCCTATGAAGCAGACAGGAAGGTTTCATAGGCCGTGAGAAAGAGCGCGTTCCCAGCCCAGGTCTGGGCAGCTGGTTATTTTGTGTGAAAGGTGGGTTTCTGGCTTCAGAGCACCTACAGGACGGAAGGTGCCCCAGGACCAGGGTGAGCCCAGTGGGCACCCGCTAGGTCATGGCCATCAGAGCAGGTCCCAGCACCCTCAACCCGCTGCCCTCTCCTGTGGTCCCTCTGCTGCGTCCTGCTCCACCCCACCCAGCCTTGTTCCCTCCCAGACCCTGCTGGCTGTGTCCCCAGGGAGAGGGGACCCAGACATCACTCGCCCCAGGGCCCACCCATAGGGAGTGAGGCCGGCAGGTCTGCCCTTGAAATGGGCCCGGGATGGGGGACAAGGAGGAGCCACTTCTCCCCCAGGCTGGAGGAGCGAGGGCTCACCCTCATCCATCGACAGGTGTCCTTTGCTGAGCTTATGGTGTTGACGGTGATGGCTGTGGTCAGGCACTGGAGACGCAGGGTGGAGAAGACAGGGTCCTGTGTGGAGCTGGAGGCCTGAGGCAAATGCAGCTCTGTGTGTGTGTGTGTGTGTGTGTGTGTGTGTGTGTGTGTGTGTGTTTCCCACTGTGAGGGGGTAGGGGGCCTCTCAGAGCAGAGCCCAACTAGAGAGAGGAGGGTGTGCCCTCAGGTACCTGAGGAGGAGTGTTGGGAGAGGGATAGGCGAGGGCAAAGGCCCTGGGGCCTCAGACCCTCTGCAAGCGAAGGCGAAGGGGTGTGAAAGGGGGGAGGGCAGAGATTGGGGTTTCCTGGTGGTGATGGTTTGGCCTTTTCAGATGGGTGATGCCTGCAGTCTTAGGTGTTGGGGGACAGATGCAGAACTTGACGTGCATATTTGGGGGAGAGGGGCGAAGGCTGGGAGAGAAGGAGTAACCAGAGAGGCCAGGGCTCTCAGTTCAGGTCCTTCCCAAGGTTCCATCCCACCCCCGACCCCACCCCACACACGGAGGCCGCCCAAATCCCCGCCCCCCACTTAGCCTCAGGTATTGATGTTCTTTGTGAACGGTGACGCTGAGATGAGCCGGACATGCAGGATATGGAGAAGCAGAGGGCTACCGCTCGCTCAGGCGAGTAGCAAAGACCCCCTGAAGCCCTCTGGCTTTTATTCAGGGAGTACAGCAAATAACAGTGGAGTACAGCAAGTGACAGTGATTAACAGGCATGCCTATGAGATCATCTGAGCTAAGTTATACATTTAACTATTAATTTCTGATGTTATACAAAGATTATTTCCACCTGCAGCAGTGCACCCTCCCTTGAACTTTCCATGCCCTCATGGACTATTTATCACCTCAAGGAAAGTTCTGCCTCTAAACAATAAGTCTTGCTTGCAAGACTTTGTTCTGACGTGGCCCGCTTGCAGGCTCCCGCCTTTTCCTGGCAAAACGTCCTTTTCTAGTTAACTTCATTCCGCTTGGCCGCTACACTCAGGCCTGTGGGTGCTGTGGACACCTCCTTGGTGTCCCACAGACCTCAGAACCCCCGTCATTACCCAGCGCACCAGGTCCCCCGCCCCGTGCCTGCAGCTCTCAGGCCAGTGAGGGTAAAAGACCGGCTGTCACGCAGAGTCTGGAGATGATTTCTGAGACCTCAGTGCACGGAAATTCGGAGTAAGCAGCAAGGATTCAAAGATGACAGGGTGTCTTCCCTGCACTGCCTCCTAGGCTTTCCGGTCCTAGCCTTGATTGCCTGTGAGCACTTGTTGCTCTGCACGTTATGGTAACTGACAGCAATACGGCTGTTTCTCGCTTACAGACAGCGGGTTGAGGAGTGGCCCCCAAGGGGATATGTCCACGCCCTCACCCTCCTCCCCACGGGTGTGACCTCCTTTGGAAATCAGAGTCTTTGCAGATGTCATTCATTTAAGGACCTCGGCATGAAATTATTCTGGATTTAGGGTGGGCCTGAGGTTCAGTTACTTATGCTCTTACAAGAGAGAGGAAAGGAGATGTGAGCCACACGACAGAGAGGAAAAGCCATGGAGGTGGAGGCAGAGATTGAGGGATGGAGGCTGGCAGCACGGGGCTCTGGGAAGAGGCAGGCAGGCCCCCCTCGGTGCCTCCGATGGCACCAGCCGGCACCCAGTCTCAGGGCAGGGAGAGCTCCCGTCTCTTATTTTAAGCTGCTCTGTCCATCCGTGTACTTGGTTCCAGCAGCACCAGGAAAGGACTAGAACCTGCAGATTCATCCTGCCCGCGGGGGCCGTCAGCCCCCGCCCCCGCCCCGGGAAGCCAGCCCCCACTGTGTTTGAATCCGAGTCCCTATTCCTTCACGCGTGTGCATCTGTGCTTTCTTCTCTGCTCTTGTGAACCGGCCGGGACACCGACCGTCCCCTCACTGGAGACGAGCTGACACGTTCATATGCACGAATTCACTTTACGTCCGTCTGAGTCCTGATTTCTTCCTGGTGAAGGTTATCTTTGCACATGAAGTTTAGGGATTGCGAATAGAAACTTCTGGGTGGTCAGTCTCTCTGGGCTGATCCAAGTGCTTGTGGCAGATGTGATTCACTCGTGACTTAAGAAAATAATAAGTTCAAATGCTTGTGGGGAAATGGTTTTAACCCCATGAGACGCACCAGCCTGAAACCGGATGGAAGTGAACCCTGCGAGCAGTCCGCTCAGGTCTGGCGAGGCCCCGGATGTGGCCGCGAGGAGGAGACACGCACGGGAGCCTCAGGAAGCACCGGGGACCAGTGCAGCCAGGGTGCCGGTGGCAGGAGCTGGGGGCTTTCCTAATGTGACAGCCACCAGTGAGTTCACAGGGCAGGGCCCGGGCCCACCCAGGACCTCCACACCAGGGCGATGCGGGGCCGATGGCCAGTCTGTGTCCCGGCCTGAACACGGTGGGGCGGTTCCGCTGCTCCCCTGGGACCCCCTAGTGCAGGGAAGTCAGAGCTGGGGCCCTGGCCTGGGCCTGACGGCTGGGCCCTCTCCAGGCAGCTGGAGGCGAGCAGCCTGCAGCGCTGTCCCAGCACGGCCACCAGCCCCCTCCCCTCCTGCCTCCCACCTGGCTCCTTCCCTCTCCCCACACTCAACTGCCAGCGCCCCAGCCCCAAGCTGCTGAAATCAGTAATGGCCCTGACAACAACAGCAAAGGCAATAATAGTAATTCTACAGGGTGTCAGTGGGAGCTGGGCTCACTGTGGGCCTCAGGGAGACCCCGGGCAGTCACATGTGCCCTCTGTCCTGTCCCTCCCCACTCACCCCCAGCTGCAGGCCTGGGGGTCCATGCCCACTACACAGACGGCCACCTGAGGCCAGGAGCAGAGTCACTGAGTCCGTGGGACACGGAGGCCCAGCAGGTGCATGGTCACGGGGGACCAGCCACCACCACCTCGGCCCCGTCTGCAGAGGGATCCTGTGTCGCAGGGCCTGCAGGTGGCTGCCTGCCGGCCACTCATGTGGCACCTGTTTGCTATTTCCTGCCCTCAAACTGCACACCTGCTCTTCTTCTAGACGTTTCTGAAGGGGTTTTCCAAAGTGACTTCAGCTCCAGGGCTCGGACGGGCCTCTGTGGTGAAGGACAGCACACAGGCACAGCCTTGCCGCCCGGAAAGCGCTCCCTGCCTCCCTCGGACGTTTGTTCGTGTGTTAGTTGGTTCGTTCATCCTTTCTTTCATTTGTTCATTCTTTCATTTGTTCATTCACTGGTGTGTTCGTCCCTGATACTGTCTCAGGGTCAAGAACCACCAGAACCACGACAGTGGCCTGGCCGGGACTCAGACCCTCAGGGGCAGGCAGAGCGGACACAATCATTATCTGGGGACGCAGCTGGGTCTGCACCAGGCTCCTCACCTGGATGATTTTGATCTGCAAAGTCTGGAGACATGTGGGTTATCACTGCGGGGCAGGTGCTGCTGGCCCGTAGAGAGCGGAGGCCAGCACACTGCAGGCCCAGGACAGAGTAAGGGGACAGCTGTCCGTGTGCTGGGGAGAAGCCCTGCTTAGGCCGCTCTGGCTGCGGTCCGGAGCCTGCGTTAGTTAGGCTTGTGGGCGGACGGCGCTGGTGTCACTGCCTATCTGTGAAGTGACCCCCACCTCCCGCCGTCTGTGACCCACTCTCTCTAGCAGGGCCCCCACGAAACCACCTTTCTCCCTTTAGCCCGGCACAGTGGGCCCTCCATCCACGTCCGCATCCCCCCTCCCCGCCCCGAGAAGCTGCTCTTGGCCCGACCCCATCTTGCTGGCCCCTCTGGTGTCCTTCTGACCTCTCTCCTGGGACACACCACGTGTCAGAGTGAACCTCAGAGGGTAAGGGCGGCGACGCCCATGTCACTGGTGCAGGCACAGCTAGGTCAGTACCTCATCTGCTCCTCACACCCCACCGCCGTGAAGGACAGCAGTGCTGGGTGACCCCCTGGGGCCCAGATTGTCACTCTCTGACTCCTGTGCAGGTGGCGGGTGGGGGGTCCTGTCATACCATTGCCGCGGAGCCACGGAGAAGGCTTTGTCGGGAGATGGGGCTCCTGGGGATCCTGAGGCGCCTGGGAGCTGGGTGGCTGCAGGAGGGAGAGGCAGGGCAGCGAGGGGACACGTGGTGGGAAGTCGTGGTGGGTGAGATCAGGCTCCTCGGAGGGCGGGGGATGGCCCAAGCCTGTGGAGTGGGGTGGAGGGAGCAGTGAGCACTGGCGGCCACGTGGGGCTCAAAGGCAGGTCTTGTCTTGCAGGAGGCTTGGAACCCTGCAAGTTTGGGGGGCCCATAGCACCCCACGTGGTTGGAAGATTCATGAGGCATGAGGCTGGACCAGGGAGGCAGGGATGAGGCCCAGCCCAGGACCCTGTGGCAGGAAGAGCCTCCTTGGAGAGTAGCTGAGGATCTGGGCAAAATAAGACATGCGTGGAGTGGGAGCGAGGAGGGGAAGCAGGGAGCATTCGCGTGTCAGTGAGTGAGCGTCCTTATTGACAATACGTCCTAACTTTTCAAAGAAACCCCCAACCTCGAGACCACCCCAACCGTCCTCCATCGTGGGGAATGGGCCAGGGGGCCTCCAGTCCTGCTCCCCACTGGGCAAGACCAGCCCCCGAGGGCCCCTCCTCCGCAGGCCTGCCCAGCCACCGTGGGAGAACGATCTGGTTTCTCGGTCAGCCCGGCCATCAGCCCGAGTCTACCCCTGGGACCCAGCGATGACTGAGCTGGTGTCGAGTCTGCAGTCGGTCACTGCTGTGCAGTGGGAGGCCTGACCGTCCTGTGCCCAGAGTGAATGAGTGAATGCATGAACAGTGCAGGGAATAGATCTGGATGCATGTCACCTCCTCAGGAAGCTCACCCCTTTTATCCTCTTCCGGAACCCGGGCCGCTCTGACATCGTCTCGTTTCCCTGTCTTCCGTGAAGTTCACCAACATCCCCATGCCTGGAACAGTTCCTGCCACGGCCCCAGCACTTGGCATTCGGGGAGCAATCCTGCCCTCCTGGGGGTGCATGTTGGAAGAAGGAATGAATGACTGAGTGAACGCTGGAGGAATGAATGAGAGGCAGATGAGTGCTGGGTGAGTGTCGGATGGAGGAATGAATGACTGAGTGAACGCTGGAGGAATGAATGAGAGGCAGATGAGTGCTGGGTGGGTGTCGGATGGAGGAATGAATGACTGAGTGAACGCTGGAGGAATGAATGAGAGGCAGATGAGTGCTGGGTGAGTGTCGGATGGAGGAATGAATGACTGAGTGAACGCTGGAGGAATGAATGAGAGGCAGATGAGTGCTGGGTGGGTGTCGGATGGAGGAATGAATGACTGAGTGAACGCTGGAGGAATGGATGAGAGGCAGATGAGTGCTGGGTGAGTGTCGGATGGAGGAATGCTGGATGGAGGGATGAATGACTGAGTGAACGCTGGAGGAATGAATGAGAGGCAGATGAGTGCTGGGTGGGTGTCGGATGGAGGAATGAATGACTGAGTGAACGCTGGAGGAATGAATGAGAGGCAGATGAGTGCTGGGTGAGTGTCGGATGGAGGAATGAATGACTGAGTGAACGCTGGAGGAATGAATGAGAGGCAGATGAGTGCTGGGTGGGTGTCGGATGGAGGAATGAATGACTGAGTGAACGCTGGAGGAATGAATGAGAGGCAGATGAGTGCTGGGTGAGTGTCAGATGGAGGAATGAATGACTGAGTGAACGCTGGAGGAATGGATGAGAGGCAGATGAGTGCTGGGTGAGTGTCGGATGGAGGAATGCTGGATGGAGGGATGAATGAC